TAAATACAATAAAACCACAAATCACTGCAGTAAAGAGTGAGTTCCCAGAAAAAGCCAAGGGATTTAGGAAGGGGTGGAAGAGGAAGGAACCTTGGATGGAGGAAGGAGCCAAGACTTAGACTCAAGCCTCCTGGCAGCCAATGGAAAGGCAAACCGGATGAGCTACGCAGCTCATGTTTGGTCCTGAATGGCAGCGCAGGACAGGCTGTCAGGCAAATGGCTCTGCAAACATTTTCTGGGCAGCCCCTGTTTCCTGGGCTGGGCTGGTAATGCCCCAGGGGAGTAGCGCTCTGCCTCTCACAACCTAGTTCTCGAGGATGTGGGCGTTGGCAGGACAGCAGGGTCTGTGTGCTTTGTCCCTCCGGCACCAGGCCTCCAGGTTCCCAAACCCTGTCCACTCCACAGACCATGCAGGGGCTGTTTGCTCTTCACCTGATTCCACACTCTTAAAGAGTTTCCTTGTCCCTGGTAATTTGGAGGTTAATGCAAAATTTCATTTTCTCATTACATAACATAACAGACTCTTTTGCTGACTTTTCCACGAGGTTAATTATTTCCCCCAAACAGACAGGTTTCTCTCAGTGCCAGGACAGTTTTTACTTAAAGTCCACAGTCAGCTGGACCATGCAGGAATTTTCTAAATGACTTTCTTTTTTTTTTTTTTCTTTTCTCTAAGTAGATCAGCTTCATTTTTCAGAGGAGCTGGGGAAGAACAGAAATCTGCCCAGCTTGCCCTCACAGCCCATCCAAGATCTTCGACCCTCACCGGGGGACAAGAAGATGGTGGAGCCCTGTCTTCTCCAGCACCTCTCAGCTGGAGTCACAAGACAGAGACCAGGGGCTGCAGGCAGCTAGAGCCACTCCTGGTCTGGAATTAGTCTTGCTCAGTCCCAAGAGCCAGAGGAAAGCAAAAGGCCACATTATGACTTGTGTGGGCCCTGGGCATTTCTACCTCCATGGGCCTGTTGCTCCATAAAATAGACATTAAAAATCATCTTTTATGACTATAATGGCATAAGCACTAATATAGTCTACATTCATTCTTATATCTTTATTATTATCATATTCATTTTTTGCCTTCTGATTTTAAAAGAAGTCAAAGTTAAACATTTTGTGGGCCCCTAGAAGTACCCTGAGCTCAAACCCCTGTGCCTGCTAGAGAAGGCAGCCAAGGGCCAGTGCCCTAGCCCTACCCCTTAGCCCTGGGAGCCACTGGATTGGGAATTGGGAAGACAGACACACCCCCAGGCCCCAGACTCACTGCAAGAGTGCTGGTCTCTGGGGCCACAGTCTGCCCCTCAGTCTACTCAAGGACAGTAGGAATAATGATGGTGACTCACACCTGTACTCCTAGCACGCTGGGAGGCCAAGGCAGGAGGTTCCTTTAAGCCCAGAAGTTCGAGACCAGCTTGGGCAATATAATGAGACTCTATTTCTACAAAAAAATTGTAGAAGAAAATTAGCTGATCATGCCAATATACCTGTTGTCCCAGCTACTCAGGAGGATCTCCTGAGCCCAGGAATTTGAATCTGTAGTGAGCTATAATCACACCACTGAGATCTAGCCTGGGTGACAGGAGCAAGACCCTGTCTCTAAAAAAAAAAAAAATTAAAATAATGACAACAACCTGAAGTCCCAGGCACTAAGCCCCACTCAGAACACTTTGACATGGCAGACTCTTACAAGCTGTGTGACTACAGGCAACTTGGTTTTCTCATCTGTAGAATGGACATAATGTTAGTCTCACATTATGGACATTAGGAGTAAAGATACTGACAGGTGTGGCAGGCTTGCCCTGGAACCAGTGCATGGTAGTATCTACTAAAGAAAAAATTATTTGGACATTTTAGCTCAAGACAAGAAACTTTATTCAAGAAAGACCACTGCCTAGGGGAGAGATACAAGAACAAGTGGGGGATTTATAGCTAAGGAGCAGGGTGGGCATTCATAGGTGGACGATGATTAAGAGGACATACCTGGGAGTAAGAGGGATTCTGGCTAAACCAACTTGACGTGCTCTTTGCTGAAGGAAGGCCAGGGTGACCACATAATCGAAGGTGAGGGAGGAGGGATTTGGTCAGTTACCAAGGGTGGAACATTTTCCATAAACTGACCGAACAGAATTCTTGCTGCTGAGCAAACCTAAGTGGACCAAGGACAGAGCCCAAGGTCAGGGCATGGTCAGAGACAGGGCTCAAAGGAATTGGATTTAAAGTGGGTCAAACAAGAGAGGCTCTGTCACATTTCAGTCCATATTGGCTATTATGATTAGTCATAATCAATTATTTAATTATAATAATTTCTTATAATCCATTTATCCCTTAGTATCCACAGGGGATTGGTTCCAGAACTTCCCATGGATAGCAAAATCCATGGATGCCCCAGTCCCATACATGAAGAGGTGTAGAGTTTGCATATAACCTACGAACATCCTCTTACATACTTTAAATCATCTCTAGATTACTTATAACACCTAACACAATATCAATGCTATGTAAATAGTTGTTATTCTGTTATAATTTTAAATTTTGTATTATTTTCATTGTTGTACTGTTCAATTTTGGCCAAATATTTTCACCTGTGGTTGCTTGAATCCATGGATGTGAAACCCACAGATATGGAGTGCCACCTGACTGTTAATTGTTTGAGCAGGGGTTGCCCCAAACTCCGCTTTCTCCTCCACTCCAGAAGGCGACGTCCAGAGGTATCAGAACCCAGCCTCCCCCCAGGTGGCCCCAAGTTATGGGTCTTTGTCCACCCTGCCTGTCAATTGTTTCCTAGACAGGCAGTGGCACTGCCCTACCCAAAGTAAAGAACCCGAAGCCTCTCACCACCCTGGCCCTCCAGGGGCTCCCTGAAGACCAGTGTGACATCCCTTCTTGCCCAGGCAAGGCTCTTTTCAAAGAAGCATTATCTCCTCATGTCGTGTTTCTCCCCGTTTGTTTCCTCACAGGCAAACACAAAAAATTCTTCCTCTCCACCACTTGCTACTTTGGTCTTATTACATCATCTGGCTGCTATAATACATACTTCTCAGTTACTGTTTTCTGAGGACTTAAAAAGTCTTCTTCCTCCCACCCGGTCATTCCCGCAGTGTGACCCTATGAAAAGAGTACCAGGCTTTGAAGCCAACCGGAGGGGGTTTAATCCTAGCTACACAATTGACCAGCTGTGTGACCTTGGGCAAGTCAATTAACTTCCCTGACCCCTGGATTGTTTATCTGCCTGGAATTATGGAGACAATCTTATTAATATTTGCTTTAGCGGCAGGACTCCCCACTGGGAGGAGACCTGGGGTTTTTGGAGGGGTATAAACTTTGATAAGCCAGTGGAGGTAGAGAAAAGAGCTCCCCACCTCCTGTCCCAGAAGGAGCCTGCCTGCAGAACTGGAGGTGGTTACCTTGGGCCAGCAACCACCTTTTGTTTTGTGGCTGGAGCAAGCAGGTTGAGGGGAAAGGCAGGATGCTTGGGATGGAGGGGATTCTTTGATGCTTGGTGGAAGGAAAGAAAAGGAGGGGAGACGAGCCACCGACAAAGGAGAGAAGCCCTGATGCCCCTTCAATGAATAGTGGTTGAGTAAACAAATAAAAGATTAAAAAAAAAAAAAGGAATAAACAGGCTGTCAGTCTCGAATAGCCAGGAATGGGGTGAATGGGGTCCAAATTTGACATTGTGTGTATGTTATGACAATTGTTCTATTAGTCTTCTTTTCTTTGCTATTATGGTTCGATTTCCCACTTTCCGAGAATGACAAGCCAGCATGTTTTGATCTACAGAGTGTGCTATAATTTCTTGCACACTCTGTTCTTTCAGGGATCCCTCTTTTATATGTACATACCTCACTTAGGGAGTGATTATTTCCCTACCAAAAGGCTCATCATTTCGGTTTCATTAAATAGAGACTTCTTCCAATGCACCAAGAATAGGATTAGATTTATAGAAATTCAATTTACATTTAGCTTTTTAGGAACAAATGTCTTACACGGCCAAGCCACTGCTCTTTCTGTCAGGCCTCCTGAAGTTCTAGTTTATAGGCTTCCTTTATTTCCTTCTGGCACACTCCCCACTTAACCCCTCATTACCTGGTTCACTTGAAATGACTCTGGGCACCTGGCCACCCAATCCCATGGCCTTTCCTTGGAGTCCTCAGTCCCACTTTTTGGCACTGTATGATGCTGCTGGCCATCCCATTCTTCCTAAACCCCTCAAGACCCTTGGCTCTGTGGCCTTTGTACACAATCTCTGCCTATCCCTCACTTGCCCTTGAGCTTCTGGATGTGTCTGAGCATTCAACGTCCTATCTGGCATCTCCATGTGGTTGCCTCAAAGGCAAATGAGCAGAATAAGGATTTGCCCTCTAGGCTCCTACAGGACCCTAAAAAAGGCTGCTCCTTAATGTCTCCATGAAAGACACCACCACCAGCCCACCCTGTGCCAACACTGCCCTCTCCTTCATGCCACACATCCAATGTTTCACAGACCACACACCATGTATCTCCTAAAGACATCTCAAGTTAATCTGCCTCTCTCTCACAAGTGTGTTATGTTCCTTGAGGGCTGAACTGTCTGCTTTCAGTGCCTGGCATGTGATAATAGCTCAGTTAATATACAGGCTGCCCAAAAAATGTATACGAATTTTAATAAAGGAAAAAAAACTATATTAAAATTATAATACTCAATATATACTGATAACAAAAGATGAATGCAAGTCATGTTTGACTTCTGCAATTACGAGACATGCTCAAAGTATATACCTAATGTAATATAGAATATATAGATAACATCCCTTATAATGTGTACACATTTTTTGGCACCCCAGGTACACATTGAATAAGTGGACAGTGAGCAGATGTTTTTACAAATGCTAAAACTGAGGCCCAGAGAAGTGATTCGCCCAAATATCTCCCCATTGGTATAACCCGGACTGTCCCCACAGGTGGTTCCAGTTCTCCCCTCTGCTCTATGCACCCAGGTTAGGTGTCCTCTTGGGCTGCCTTACCTGAGAGCACCGTGAAGACGGCTGCAAAGGCATTGAGCTTGAGCCCGTCGATGACATTGCTTGAGTGGAAGAGCTCAAGACACATGAGGCTGAAGCCCACCACCAGCAGGAGGATGTACAGCACCTCAGAGACCACTGACAGCCACAGGACTCCTGTCCAACAGAGGCAGAAAGGTCATGAGATGAGAAGTCCACCTAGACAGACTCTCCCTGTGTCCATTCCACCCCATGTCTGCTGACCATAGCAAGTCATTTTAGAATAGACCTCAGTTCTGGGATGAGTCCTGACTGATGTGAGGCAATCATGACTGTCCCATCCTCATCACCGGGGACTGACTCAGGAACCCAAGCCTATGTCAGCATGGCATTGCTGGGTGGCTGTTATTGGGGGGAAACTTTTATCCTGTGGCTGGATGGGAAGTTCTATTCCTTTCTCACCTGCCAGATCTGCAGTCCCCAACCCTCGGAGCCACAGACCAGTCACCAGTATACGACCTGTTAGGAACCAGGCCACACAGCAGAACGTGAACAGCAGGTAAGTGTCATCTGTATTTATAGCCCATTGTCTAAGCCCAAGCCAGTTTGTGGTAGAATTTCTATCACTTACAATCAAGAGTCCTCATCTTTAGCTTTTCTGTTCCCCAAAGCTGTCAAACATGTCCTCTCCCACTTCTCTGCCTTTGCACAAGTTGTTCCTTCTATCTGGAATGTCCCAGACATCCGATAAATACTATTTATCAAATGAAACAAACAAACAGCAAGTTCTGAGTCCTCATCTGCTCCCTGATGAAGAACCCAAATTCTGAAACACCCACTATCATTGCTAGCACAACAGGGCTTTAGAGTTTTGGAGAACTTTTTTGTTTCTTTTTTTTTTTTTAATGCTACCAAAATATCGCATCTCCTGGGCAATTACTTGAATTTCTGTAAGAGAATTATGTGCTCTTGGCAGCTGAGATGTTGTTAAAACACCCCCTGGCACTGCATACTCACAGAGTCTGAGGCCCTTCACTGGCCCAAGACTCACCCAGCAATAGGAAATTCAGAAAGTGCTGAGCCTTGCCAGGAGGGTGGCTGCTCCCAGGAGGTTATGTCCTCAATTCTAAGCCTTCAGCTCCGAGCTGCTATTGCTTCCAGACCCCTCATCACAGAGCAGCTCACTGGCTCAGCTGCTACCCTCCCACAGCCCCCGTGCCCCTGGGGCTGAGCTCATCCCTGCCCACTTGGGCCTTGGGCCAGGCCTACCCCTCCCATGTGCCCTCTCAGCAGGGGCTCAGCTCTGCTCTTTCAGATGTAGTGGGAGATGGGCTGGGCCTTGGGGGCTGGGTACCCACAGAAGTTAACCATGGAGAAACTAGCACTGGTACCCGGATGCCTGGCAGGGGCTATGCTTCTTATTCCCGCTAGATTCCTACATTTATTTCCTTGTCTTCTCACTGGGCTTGGGAGCATCTCTGAAAGTTTCAGACCACCCAAGCCATGGGAATTCACAATAATAATAACAGTTGGGGTTCCGGCAACACAAGTCAAAATGAGGGCCAAAAGTTATCAGGTCAACCTCAGAAGTAATCCCTCCAAACCCCCTCCCTCCACCCATTCTCCCCTCCCTTCTCCCTCCCCCCTCCCCATATTCTTAGGCTACTTGGTTATAGCTTTCATATAAAAAGGTTTAAATTAGTTTCATAATAGGGGTGTGTACATTGGATATTTTTTCCTCCATTCTTGTGATACTTTGCTCAGAAGAACATTCTCCAGCTCCATCCATGTGAACATGAAGGATGTAAAGTCTCCATCCTTCTTAATGGCTGCATAGTATTCCATGGTGTACATATACCACAGTTTGAAGGCTGTGTTGACCAGTTGATGGAAGTATTTCAGATTGCATGTGAAAACCCCACACTGTACCCCAGAAGTGCATTAATATACATAGTTACCATTCAATAAAAAAATAAATTAATTAATTTAAAAAAAAAGGTATCAGGTCTTTATTATGTATTGAGTCAAAGGGACAGTATTGGTGCCCTACCCAATCTCCATAGCCCTTTTAGAACTTCTGCTTTTGGAGAACTGTCCATGGGTAACTGGAAACCATTTTATCCATCTTTGTTTAGAAAGTGACTGGGAACTTACATTTCCCTTTCTGTATTGCTGTCACCATCAGGGTCCTGTCTTGTGGCTCTAGCTGGGACAATTCTTGAGATGTGACCCATCCTGCAAAGCCCTCATGGGATCACACCTGCCTGACATCATCCCCTCACTTTCCCTCCCCCTTTCCTTCCCAGCCATCCCTGGGAGCAGTTCCTTTACAAATGACTTTGCTGTGAGTCCTCCTCTCAGCAAAAGAGAAGGAGGAGTCTGCTCTAGGAATCTGACCTCAGACATGAATATTCACACAAATTATCTCCACAGATTCTCCTAACAACCGGGCCAGGTAGCACTGTATCGCCCATTTTAGAGATAAGAAGACTTAGGTTCTAACGGATGAAGCAACAGCTTTACACCGCTAATTAGTGTATGGTCTAGATGCAAATTTGGGCCTGACTGTAGAAGCCGTGATGGTTAATGTTAGAGTAGTATGAAATCTTCCCCCTTACACATGTTACGTTTGGCCTAAAGGTTTTTCTTTCTCAATGAGCTGCAACCTAACTTATGTGTAACCTACTCTGATACCAATCACAGAGTTTCAGCCAATCACGGGTGGCCAGCTGTGCAAACCATGTTCAAGTACAGCAAACACCCAGCTGGGACCAATCCAGCTGCTTCTGTACCTGACTTCTGTTTTCTGTCCGTCACTTTCTGACCACGTAGCAGCCCCAGAGTCACTCTGAACCAATTCTGGTTCTGGGGACTCCTGATAAGCGAATTACACTTTGCTCAATCAAACTCCATTAAATTTAATTGGTCTAAAGTTTTCCTTTTAACAGCGGGGAAACCATAATCAGGATAGAGTGGCCACTTTGAAATCAAATTCTCCCACTTTTGGCAGGTGGCAGCAGCTGATATGGGTGTGGGGGGCAGAGGAGGCCCTGGCCAAGGCCCCACTTGAGATATTCTCCAGCATCCCAAGCAATGCCTGAGCCAGGATTTCAGGAAGAGGATGGCCACTGAGTGGGATGGAGTGGCCCAGCTGGCCACCAGGTGTGAGGTGGAGGGAGGCTACAGGGTAGAGAAGATGGTCTGAGGACTCTTGGAAGCCAGGCTGGGGAAGCTGGGCTTGACCCATATTCAGGGGCAAGTGAGGGTCTGAACAAGGGTGGCACTATGTTCCCAGCCTGGACACTGAAGCAGACAGTGCTATTCTTTGCTGAGCATAGGAAGATGCCAAGGCAGGAGGATGATGACATGCAGAGTCCACATTCTCTGCGGGATGCCCAGTAGGCAGCTGGAGCTGACACGGATGGGGAGCGTTGGCAAGATGTACACACTCCTGAGTACCTGCTGTGATTGTCAAATAGATGGCAGTTGAAAATGATGGGACACTTCGGAAAGCATGTGGGGCAAAAGAGAACAGGGTGGGACCCAAGGGGACTAAAGAGGACGGGGCAGGGGCAGAGGGCTGTGAGGGTGTAGCAGGCACAGTGGGCGCCTCCTGCCCTGCCCACAGCACTGGGTGCCCACTTCCAGCCGGCAAGTGCATTTCTCTGCCTGGGAGCTTGCCCTGGCCACCAGAGCCCACTCCACCACCTCTGAGGCAGGCTGGACACACTGGGGCATGAAGACCACCCTGCCCCCACCCCAGCCCCACGGAGGACATGAGCTCTACACATTTGTGTTTCCCACCAAGGGAGAGGAGGCTTAAGGTGGTGGTGAGTCACAGCATTAAGCTGTCTGAGCCAAAGAGTGAAAAGCTATTCACTTTCTCATTATTTTTGAAATTCTTATTACCGCAATCAAAAGAGTCTCCATGTGGTGCTAATATGTCCTTAACACCTTTCTAACACTTGTCAATTTTTCAAAACAAGGAGAAGGCCAGGCCCCAGGCCCAGAGTCTTCTGCAATTCCCAGCCAAGCCTGAGTAACATTTTGACAGTGACCTTGGGTGCTCCTCCTCCCCCAGACCAGGAGACTGCCCCCTTGGAACTGTCACCCAGGTCTCCTGGCCCTGCCGCTGAGTTCAGCCAATAGGGACCAACTGGAGATGGACAGCGGTTGGGGGAGGTCAGGGTATTTCTTCCCTGCTCCTTCCTCGTGGGAGCCACATCTTCTGTGGCCTGGTCCTCCCAGTTTCCACTCTCTCTGGCTCCAGGACACTATTCCTGCCCCTTTCTCTTTCTAGCCCAAGGGTACTAACAGCTCCCCACCACTGCTAGTTTGGGGTGGCCTCAGGTTCTCTTAACCCTAACCAGGACTCTACAGGGAATTCTTTCATTAAAATATCTTTACTCGAGCCATTCAGGGGATCCTATTTCCTGCAGGGACCTTCAGTAACACATCCTTTATTATGGCAAGGGTTTCCACTTCGAGTAGTAATCTAAGCCTGTGGTCTCAGCACAGTTCCCGACCAGCAGCATTGGCATCACCTGTGAACTTAGGGTGCAAATTCTCCAGCCCCGGCCCAGACTTGCTGAATCAGAAACTCTGAGAGTGGGACCCATTCTGTGTTTTAATGGGCCCTCCAGGTGATGCTGATACACACTTAAATCTGAGGACCACTGATCTAAAGTTCCATTTGAAATGTACAATGTAAAAAGTGAGTCGCCTTAAGGCAAAACTGAGTCAATGCTAGGACAGGAGGTGTTGGCATCTGGCAGATGGAAGGTGGCATGGGAATGATTACAGAATTGGGAATCATTGCACTGTGCCTGGCCTGCAATCCTTGCTCCCTGGTATCATTGATGCAATGGATGCACACATGTGAGAAAGGGCGGCCTCCAGGCATCTAGCTAGGCCTTGCCTTGGTGACACTGGGGAAAGGCTCATTAATGGTGGAGATGATTGTCCCAAGTCTCCGAAACTTTCTCTAATGGCTCGATTTGCAGTGGAGAACAGGTGACCTCTGGGGGACAGGAGAAATAAAATGATTTCTTATCGGGTATGGGGCCATGAGGTGACAGCTAATCCTGTTAGCTGCCCTTTTTGCCTTTTTAAAAAACAGCTTCCTAACACCAACTCTGACCCTTCATTGATGGAATTGATGGGTTTGCAAGAACGCT